TGTAAAATATACATGTAAATATTGTTTGTGTGTCATAGACACAATATGAATGCAAGACATTAATTTTATTTTAAATACCTAGTATTTATTTGTTTTTAATAGTCCCTTTGTAGAATTATGAATTGCAGAATTGTTTATTTGCATTATCTAATATATATTTATACGGCTATAATGGCAGTCGTGTTGAAATTGTATAATATATTATTGTTTATTTTATATTTATTGGTTTGTTCTATTCCGGAGTTGAACATTATATTGCTCTTAATTATTTTGATGGGATAAAACAAACAGGATATTAAAACTGTATAATATGTCGTTTCATTAATCCTATTCSAAATACTTATTGTTCTTGAGTAAATACAAGTCTTACACTAATGTGTAWTATATACTGGTCGTTAGATGGTAAAATTAGTATTGGTATGTGTACAAATTGTAAATGTATTTAAACGTAGGTGCATTTAGTAGAAAATTATAATCATATTAATATTATACAATTCTAAACCGATTGGGCTACAAGTATCATGTGTAATACCTATGTCAAACTCGCGTTATTAGTTAATACATTATTATTTATGGCCAACTTTGTAATGACACTCAGTTTTGTAGTATTATACAACATAACATAGGTAGGTAATAAGTACAACCGGCTATAATATATTATGTGATGAAAGTTATTCATATTTTTGCACGAGGACAATACGATCTTATTTCTTGACATTCACGAATTGYGGTACCTTTCACTATTTTGAGGTTGTTAGTTGATGATAACATAATAATATTATACTATGTATAGTGATTTATAAAAAAAAAACTAATTAGCTATTATCGATTGTGGCATAATATAGGAAATAAGAAAACTCGTTGCACAAAATAAATTGTCGTATTATAATTACTGGCCATTCAAATTACGATTTTAATCCGGAAAATAAGGTATTAGTCGGTATGTATAGGTAGTATGTACCGACTTGCTACCTTCGTAAAAAAATAAACTAATACAACTTATTATCGTTCATGAATAATATTATAAAAATTCTTATTCCTAAAGTTACCCACGTAAACGACGCGTTTTTAACAAATTCGTAATTTGTCGATTGTGTAAATATATTTTCCTCGTATAGGTAACTGGTTACTGGTTGGTATTCAATATTGTTTATAGGTACCTATTGACGAACGAAGGTTAAGACGTGAAATATGAGAATGTGTATTCCATTAGTATTATGACGTGTTATAAAATAAGTAGTGAYAATATTATGATAACTACAATATACGTATAGTATAAGTGTATTAGGTGCAACATAACAATTTTACATATATTATATTATGATCAAATAGACAATAATATTATATTATTATATAATAATATTATACTATTCTAGTATTTGCTGAGCACGACTACTGTACATATAGGTACACATAATAGTGATATTGAAAACAACTCGTTTGTTTGGTAAGATGATAATACCGCTGTTACTATATCGACTACCTATCCACTATCATGTATTTGTTGAAAAGAATTTTATAAATATTATCTATCATTAATAAAAATAGTATAACTTTATTTACTTCTAAATCGACGAGATATTATAAAACAAGGTACTTTATTAATTTTAATCGTATTTTTGTKTGATACTTGTTTTTATTATTACAACATGATAATCCAAAAGTATTTTTACTCTATTTTATTCTTAAATACCTACTGCATTAGTACATTCGAATTATAGGTTTTTATTTGTTAATTATTTGTTATTATCGTTTAGCATACTTAAATTCCATAATATAACTATAGGTACTTGGAGTATTACTCGTATACTATTTGAGAATTAAGGATTTATACTTCGGAATCGCCACCGACTACAAAGGCGAAAACATTTTCTTATTTTGTACAAATATGGGGAATCATTTTTCACTGTAAATTGCAGATGGGTTTTTTTTAATATTGATAACACTAAAATGATTAGTTTCCAAGTTGTTAAAATATAATATGTATAATATGTGCTAAAATTGTTCTAAAGTTAATAACCTTTAATACTGGTTTTACATAAATATGTATGGAATATTATAATATTATTATWTATTCATTAGTTCATTACATACACATAATACCTATATTTTTTATAAATTATACGCAATAGGTACTAATATTGTAATACTAATTAGTATGAATACYTTAACGATTTTCCAAATTATTATATCTCCCATACCTTCAAACCTATTATTTATTAAGAGGATATCAACGCACATTTGTTTTCTCTTTCTGACCCRCGATCAACATAGACAAAATGCATTTACACAGAATCAAATATTTTTTTATGTTTTTATAGTTATTTTAGAGTAAAATCACTCATCACAAAAAATATAGAGAATAATATTTTTGAGGGAATTACATATCGATTTGTCTTAATATTGTCTCAAAACAATTTAAACATTATTTAAATTTAAATTATTTTGTTAGTTTTAAAATTKGAATACAAAATCAAATAACAATAAAATATAATATTGATGTGCCATCCCCTTAATAATATTATTCTCTATATTTTTTGTAATGAGTGATTTTASTCTAAGATAACTTAAGAACATAGAAAAATATGATTCTTTGTAAATGCATTTTGTCATGTTGAGCGAGGACCAGAGAGAGAAAACAAAACGTGTCTGACAATCMTCTTAAAACACTAACAATTAAATTCTAATATTATAAATTCAGAAACTACTCGATCGAGTTTGATCTATCTAAATTCATTTTTTTTTTATTTAAAAATAAAAGTTTTTTATATGTAGTTGTGTAATGTATAATTGTACACGATTTTTATTAAAAATAATATTTAAATTTAATGCATGTTAAGTAAACTTTAAATTATCCGCTTTCTGGATTATTATGGTTTTCCGTGGAAATATGTACAGTACTAAAAATAATGTTATCCACTAAATGAATAAATATTAATGTCAGCAAAATCGTTTTGTGCCTGAAGTGTGCCCCAGATTTGGAATAAACGAGATAATTATAGAAAATGTAAAAAATAATTCTAAAACATTATTGTTCTAAATTCTTTATTGACGCCCCAATATAATATTTACCATTTATTACAATAAATAATCACCTTTTATTCCAAGTCTGAGGCACATGCACAGTGATAAGGAAAATACGGAATTTTGCTGTAAATTTATCAATTATTATAAGTCATGTCATATTATAATATGAGTATAAAATTAATTAATGGGTTTTTTATGCATATTATGATCATGCGGTAAACATTAGGTATATCCTATGGAATTTTATCAAAATTGAATCATAACTAGGTAAATACTAAATATTRTTTTTTATATTTTTACACTAGTACTTAAATCAATCAATTGTTGACATTGAGTGCAATATTATTGTGTGTGTATTTTTATAACATATATTTAATATTCGATATTAACATATCTTCTATATACGTAATGTTTAAGTGAGTGTGATTATAGTTCTAAATATATATTGGAAAAAAATCTTTTGAAAACTAGTATAATATGATAGACGAATAGAAAAAAATAAATAACATTTACAAACTATTGTAGATGGTAAAAAATAAAAATTTTGTTTAAGTATTATTTATACCATCATTTTAAATATTATACGTGTCCATATTTAAGATAATAAAATACCGACAAGTTTAATTAAATCGGTCAATATATTTAAATATTTTGTTGTTTATTAATTTAAGATTATAAAAAAATACATTAGTACTTACTAAAAATTAAATATTGGAAATCAAGAAGAACATGCATAAATAATTGTTATTACCTACTTTTAATTTCAATAAATAGCGAATTACCAAATAAAAATATGTCAAAGTACCTAAATAATAAAATAAAATAATTTTTAATGTAGATAAAATTGTGTAATATATTATTTTTAAATTAAACTTATATATTATAAGTAAAGCATTCATTTTAATTGTTTTAAAAAATAAACAAAATATATGATTTTATAAATCTTAAATTTTGACTTAGACATCATTTTGATTTGCGTTATGAATTATTATTTTTAATAGAACTATTTTAAGTGCTACACGCAGTGCAGCGGTAGCAGTTACAGCAAAATGAAACCGGACACAATTTTACCGCCACCGCGGCGGAATCACAAAAKAATTTTAYTATCACTGCTGCAGTGTGTAACTCAAGRCTCATATTATTTATTTGTTTAAAAAAAACTAATGTGCTCTTAAAATCCTTAATTTCTATATATATTCAAAATAATATATTCTTTAAAATTAATACAAATAGGAAGACGATATAAATATGTTTGTAATTCATCAAGCTTTAGTTTTGTTTTTATAAATAAATGTAAGTTATACTTATAACTAGTGATTATATATTTTATATTACGTTTTATATATTATCATATATTTATGTGTTTTATATTGTGTATATTATGCATAGTATAATTATATGTATTTTAACTACAATATTATTGATTATTGAATATAATATTAGTATACTTTATAAAAACTGGTTTCACTTTGAAATTATTACTTGAATTGGTAGTTTGTTGCGATGATTATTGTTTATTTTTTTATTGCATGTTATTTTAGAGAAATATTTTGTTGTACTTATTTGGTAATATTTATATATTCAAAGGCTGTAATTATTTTATTTTGTTTTTTAGACAAATGTTTCCGGTGTGTGATAATAACTCACATTATTCAGTAACATACGAAACATTAAAGCCGGTCTTAGTGTCGTCAGATACGGCATCTGTAGGATATGGAAAACAGGAAAATGTGCCGCCACCTATTGGTGGAGCTTCCGGGAAAATGTCGACCATAAACGGCAGAAATACAACTACCCCTAATATTTGTATCGAGGGTGGCCGCATTGAATTCGTGAAGTCTCCAATAGATTGCGGTGATGAAAAACAGGACTACTTGAAGGTAATAGTAATAGATAGCGCTAATGTGATTAATTGTTTTTAAGAAACTTTTGGCTTCGAATACTTTATGCTAATAATATTGTTATCATACAGTATAATACAATGTACGAATAATATTCGCCTTTAGCAATTTTCTACTGATGGTTACAGATAAAATTAAACAAACGAGTAATAATTATTACTGATGAAATAATGTTTATTGTTTAGAAAATATACTATGAGAAAATATATAAGCGGATATTTAGTATTGTTATTTTAAAATAAAAAATATGAACGAAATACACGTAATGTGTACCTTTTACCTACTTTAAATAGAAAAAACATATAATACTATTATACGCCTGTATAATCTACTGTATTGTTATTTGTAGTTTGTATGATGGCTAAATTAATAAGTCATAGATATTTATATTCTATTTAAACAAAATTATAAAAAGTGGAAATAAATACACAATTTTTACTATATAATATTAAAGTATAATGAACACTCCTTAATAGCGGACAGTCTTTAATTGACTTGAGGTATTCTTAATGTATTATAGAGGTTTCACTGCAATTATTTCGTTATATAGATACATATATCAAATTTAATTTAATGAGAAAAACAATAAGTCAACCTCGGCATCTTTTGTTTTTCTGTTTTAATTTTGATTGATGTTAATATCGTTTTGCCTTTTGGCTCCTTCAGCGCGTTTAATGTAATATGAAGGGTTTGTGAAATGACTTATGATTATATATTGTAATCCAGATCAACAGTAATGTGTTATTAGTTGAAAGCCCTGAGTGAACTTAGGCGAAGGATTACACATTTTGGCATAATGGAAATTATAACCCCGAGAGATCTACTCTTTCGCTTTCTTCTTAAAGTGAAATGTCGGCGCAACAACTAGGCAATTTAAATGCACCTCGTATCAAAATAAACGTTAAATATTATGTTCATAATTGCAATTTCAAATTTGTGTACAAAAATAGATTTTGCCTGTTTAGGTCATGTTATTTTTATTTATTTCCTTAATACCACTTATAATTAACCAATAACTTATTTTACAGATTGTACCTTTATTATGTCTGCATAATAATTTATTGTCATGGTATTAAGGTATTAGGTCAATAGGTCATATACATATATATATTACTGTAGGGTTTTGTAAACTTCATTATTTAATTACCAACATCATATTGGTTAAGACTGATAGTAATAATATATGACTGAAATAATATTTTTTTCTAATAAGGAGTTATAACTTATAATGCTTTAAATATTTCAAACGTTCGGTTATTAATTGAAAATATTAGTGATGATTATAGTATAGAGSTATTGAATAAATCAACAGCCAACCAACACAGTTTATATGCATATTGCATAATCTAAACTAATAGAAAAAATAAGAAAATCATATATAATTACTATATCATAATGGTTTTAAATGTAAAAATGTATTTTTCATTGTATTTGTGTTTTTTTTTTAGGCTTTAGATTATTTTAAACAACACATTATTATTCAAATATTGCGTCGTATCGGGTTAGTATTACTATTGAAAAATATTACTTTATTCTATCAAACTACGCTAATTTTTTACCTATTCAATAGTTGAGTGTAGTTGAGTATATTTCATAAACAAATAGACATTTTTATCGTTTTGTTTGCYTTTATCAAAAAAATGATGTTTATTTAATTAGAATAAGGGACCATCGCGGATTTATAGGAATTCTTCGTTATTTGTATGGCCGTTTTTTAACATCTCATATACGTAATACAATAATATTTATAAAAGCCGGTTGGATTGATATCGTCAAATATATTATTATCATGCTGTCTTATTTTATGACATTTGGAGAGAATATAGTATCGAAGCTTTCAAAAATGAAGGTCTGATTTGTTTTCTTCTTATATAGGTGAACCTTTTTGTTGAAAATATAAAAGTCTATGTCTATTATTCTCACAAAACACTGTTTATTAAATTGAAACGTGCTGTGAGCGGTATAAAGCTATAGCGGTCAATATAAAATTGAAAAGACCTTCCAGAAATATTGAATTAGAAACAAACTCTGATGATGAACTCCCTAGAAATTCAACGTTATATAAAATGAAAATACTATTGTCTAAACAACATAATATAGAAATATTGCGAAATTTCTAAATATTTGTAATATTTGTATATACGCTAGGGTTTGTTAATCGTGGTATATCTAACGTTTGAAAATGTACGTAAATATTATTTGTAAGAACTGAGTATATACACATATATATATATACATATATAGATGAGCAAATAAACAAAGTTTAAAATAGAAGATATTTTTCACATGTTAATAGATTTTTTTAAGTGTTTTTTCTTCAGATAGATATCTGTAAATATTAAATACATCATAATATATAGCCATAATGSTGTATTATAACATTTATAACATATCTGAAATAAATTTTATTATTTTTAAGTTAAATTTTTGACGCAATTTGTCAAAATCAATTTATAAAATGATCAATATTTATAACCAAGTGTTTAAAATGCAATACAGTGTATTTGAAACTGTTGTTTTTAACTGTTGTAGTTAAAAAATATTATGTGTAGGTTAAACGTTTAAACGTATATTATTACAATGAAATTTCCAAATGTAATCTTTTCGACAAAAGTCAATTCAGCCTACTGTATTATCATTGATTATGAATATTATCTAGTATTTGCAATCAATTGTATACATAGGTAATATACATTTTTTCGATTACAGTTTAGATTTATCATCAAGTATTAAAATATACTAAGAAGATAATACAAGCTGACAGGYGGTTTTTGTTCAAAATCGTTTTTTTTTGTGTGAAATGATTTATCATTGGATCAACATTTTTAATTTACCMAACACATTACAGTGACTTACTCAATGTCAAAGTACAATCATCACCTTTATTACAGCGGAACGGTTACCTACACATCCCCTTTTTGAATTTTTTTTTTAAACTTAATTCCGTTTAGTATTTATGGTATTTATAAATTTATAATAAATGTAATTTCGCCGGGTCTAAAAATGTATTTATCATCTTTAGAAAAGTAATTCATTTGAATTTTGATTTGATTTAGTTTTCAAAAAGTATTTCCTAGTCAGAGTGAAGGATATAAATGAAAAAAACAAAGCACGTAAGGATCATATAATTTAACAKCACCTCGGAGAATTCGGAAATGACAAACTTATTTTTTCAGAATACGTAAAAYAAAAATGATTTTAAATTTTGTTGTTTTCGGTCGGATTGGATAATTTAAGAAAATACGTCAAAATTGTTTTGTTATTTTATTTTTATATATAGGTACAAATATAATAATAATATATAGTTACTTATCATACAAAATATAAAATAAAGTATACGTGATTTTTAACTTTAAGATTACCTATATGGCTATATAGTATATTTACTTATTCGTATTTAAGTACCAAGTGGGACGTTATATAATCAATTAATTACAGTTATTTTAGATATAAAGTAAACTAAAAATATATCTCTTTGTCGTTTTTCAATACGTAGCGTTTTATTAGAAATAAATGTTAAATTATTTAAAACACAGATAGTTATAATAATATTTTACTATGCATTTATTCCCTGCCAAGTGTCACCAATGGTCAATGGGTGATTTCTTAATTCAAAATATTCATGTTACTATTATAATATCATATTATATTACTAGCACTATATTGAGCTATGTTCTATAGATTGTGTATTTCAAATTGTAAAAAAAAAAAAAAAACTATGCATTTAAACGAAATATTATTGATTTCACATCACCACATGATGTACTACTCGTGTTTTAATTAAGGCRCTGCCTATTAAGTATTATCGTTTTATCTATTATCAGATGCTTTAATATATTTCAAAGCTTTCTCGTTAATTTAAACTAAGCTCATCAATTAACTGTATAGGCGTTTCGCTATARTAGTAATAATATAGTATGACTACGTCTCACCATATTACTTTGACTATAGTTGAACTGGAAAACGTGATGTGTGATTTAAAATTAATTACATAATTAAATATAAAATATATTCTTAATCAGAATTTTAGTATAACAAAGATAATGATTATAGTTTATTATTGTGATAAAATCTTATATTAATGCGAAATTTGATGTCATTTGAAAGTTTACCTATTTATGTTGTTTAATGCATACCAATTTTATTGATTGTATAATATACATTGAATACACATGTAATATTATGTTCTCGCGATGCTGCAGTTAAATTTTTTATATACGATATACTCGTATGGTACATTACTTCAAGGTTGAGCAGAAAAACATGATCTGCTATTTCTTGGATATTTTCAATTTGAACGCAATATTTTTAAAATTTTTAGTGGGCAAATTAAATACAATATTTGTAGAAACATTTATTATTCAATTCATATTATGTGTACCTACTGTATCACATTTATGYAATCAATATTTGTTTGCTAGGTGACTTAAATAGACAAAAATATTTTCATTGAATTTTATATATAATACATTACTCGTTTATATTAGATATACGTATAATTGGAAAGAAGTATTGCTAAGGTCTTAACGCGATTAAAATTTAAGTTATAATTAAAATAATTTATACAGCAAAAATCCACACGATTGAATCAAATWTAAGTAGGTTTATTAAACTATAGAAATGTGTATAATATATATTATATACAGTTATAAACGACGGATCTGTTTTAAGCGATGTAGGTARTGATTTTAATATAAATTGAAAACTGATGGAGATGAAGGTGGTGTTTTAAAGTTTTTATTCTGATTCATCTTATTCAGATAATATGATTTTTACATTATCTAAATTCATAAAAAACAGTCTACGAAGTCTTAGGACTTTTGGAAATCCAGTTAAACCATTACAGTATAACAGGATTTCAAATATTTAYAATGTATGCATTTTAAAAAATTGATCACGTAATTCATACGGTAGGGCTATTGTATACATATATGATAAAATATTTTTTTCGTGTATATTTATAGAGTCATAATATAAGT